TAAATGCTCAAGGTAATTCCCCAATTAATTTTTCCAGTCCATACCTGATTCCCAAATTCCATACTCTTGTATCCAATTTCTAACTTGAAATCTTCATTTGGATGTCTAATAATACCTTAAATTCAACCTAAAACTGACAAGCTTTTGTTTCCTTTTCTACACTCCACCCACTCCCCCTGCACGAAGCCTTCCCCATCTAAACTGATGACAACTCCACCCTTTCAGTTGGTCAGGCCAAGACACCTTGGAGTCCTCACTTCATATCTAATGCACAGGGAAACCATTTTTGCTCTGACTTTAGAATTTACAGAATTCAGCCACTTCTTACCACATCCACTACTGTCAGTCTTGAGTCACTAGAGTGGTTTCTTTAAAATGTTAAATCATATCCTATTATTCTTTTCAAAATTTTGCAATAATTCTCCATTTTCTGCAGACTAAAAGTCGAAAACCTTACAATGCAGAGTTTCTTGAAGAGTGATAGGATAACGTTGTTAAAGGATCACTAGGTTGCTAAGTTTTAATTGTCTTCTTCACTAGAATGTAAACTCCATAAAGGCAGAAATCTTCAGTTTATTTTGTTTACTAATATAGTCCAAGCACATGTTCTGAGATTTATTAGTAAGCACATAGTACTTGCTTAGTACAAGCATAACATATAGTAGAGGTTCAATCAATGTTTGTCAAATTTCTATTCATTGATTCATTAAATATTTATGAAGCTCATAGCATGTGCCAGACCAGTTCTACATGCTGGATACAGCAAGTCAGTTGTGGTCTCTGCCTTCATGAAGCTTTCATGAAGTGTACTTTATCTTTGGTGTCTCTCCTGAGAAATACTGACTCAGAAGGTCTTCTGTGGATTCAAAACATTTTTTTAAGTATCACAAATGATTCTGATAAACACCATGCGTTGAAAGCTTGTTTTGTGTATCTGTACCTCACTGGGGAAGTAGATTTATTCTCAAGAAAATATAATTATCAAAATCAGGAGTAATATGGTCTCAAATGGTTGGAAAAGATTCCTAAACAAGAAGTAATATTGAAGAAAAAAAGGATTAAGGAAAACACTTTAGGAACTGTGTATATCACAAACACCTCTTTTATGTTATACAGATAGCTCATCCATGTTAAAAGATGCCAGTTTCCAATAACCTTATCTCTCGGACTTAATGGCTTAATTACTTTAGGCTGTCTTTTTCTTTCCAATATCTAGCTCTTTGCATTTACTTTCACATTATTTGTTCTATCTTGGACTGGCAGAAAGCTCCTAGCTATATGTCAGGAAGATTAAGTTATTTTCCCAATAATTCCACTAACTGGGTTGGTAGCCTCACTGGAGCTCAGATTTCTCATCTTAAAAATGAGAGTTCAGACTCAAACTAAGTTCCCTCTTGCTCCAATATTTGAGAATTCTGATTTCACTTTCTCTAGTAGTTATAATTGATAATAATGATAAGAGCAATACCCTTTTGATATGATTTTAAAGGAAAAATTAGATAGTCACTCTTCCCATCATAGAAATCTTTAGTGTCTCCAGATTGATGAATTACAAATAAAGGTTGTACATTTAAAAAAATTATGTTGAAGCTATCTTCTGTTTTTCACTAATTCCAGTTTGATAAATCAACATGGCTCTTTGGAAAGTTCAGTCATAAGGAAATTACATTTCAGGTTACATTTTAGAATAATCATGAGAAAAAATACTTTCACAGTGACTTTTATTATTTCTCCCCCAAAATACTTTAAAGATATGATAGATTCCCATTATTAAATGGACCTCTGTGAGGGTATGGGCTGCCTGTCAGAATCTCTGGGGAAGCAGGTGTGATGTGGAGGTAAGGAGGATATGTCTATAATTTGAAAAAGTTCCCGAATCATTCTGATATCTGCCATCACAACCCACTACCACTCCCCATTTGAGAATCACTGTTCTGAAGATTAAACACACACACACACACGCACGCACACACACACACACACACACACACACACACACACAGAGACACTCAAGAACATAACTTTATTTGCATTCCAAAATAAAGAACTACATTATTTAGAATGCTTTTATTCTTCATGCATTGCATTGCATATTACCTGAATTCCAAAGATAATTTCTATGTAGTGCAGTACTGTCTGCCATCTCAACATAATGAAGGGGATAACTGGTACATTACCATTGAACAGTTCACACAGATTTAATACTAAACGAACATGGATGTACTTCAAATAAATCATTTCTTTGGAATCTAAATAAAGTTTAGATTTATCACTGGAAAAACCTGAGCTAACAAAACCACTGGAAAAATGTCATGTTATTTTTAAAGTAGATAGTATGTCCTTTGAATACTCCTTATTCTCTAGTTGTTTCTTCATCTGGGATAAATGAGGAAATGTGCAGCAAAATATTTTTAAGATGAAAATTGCAGCCTTTTAGAAGTTTCCTGATAATGACTATTTTTTCAGTTATTGAATCATGGAAGGAGAGTAGATAATTAAAAATATATACCCTACAGTCAGTGTACCCAGTTTGGAATTACATCCTTACTATTTATTAGCTCTGTAATCTTGGGCAAAGTAATTTCTTTAGGTTTCAATTTCTTCACTCCTACCTATAAAATTTGGATAATAATCATACCTATGTTTTGGATCTTATGAGCCACTGCATGAAGTATTTAGCACAATGACTAGCTTCTAGTAAACCATTGTGCTAAGAATAAAACTAGAGAAGGTAGAAGTTCACATATCTTACTATTTTAGAACATTAAAACTGTTCATAATCTAGGATAATAAAGGGCCTTGCAAAAATGAGATTTTGAGTTACTAATTTATGTGAATTGAGCCTAAATCCTGGTCATTCATTAACTATTAACCCTTCAAATAGTCTTTGGTTGCTAGACACAATATCAGTTTTCCTCTAGTATGATAATAGCTTCAATTTACTGTATTATATTATTTACACTTAAAATGTTATGATCTTTTACTAGCATAGAAAATAAAGCCTCTGCATAAAGTAGTGAACAGAGTTGAGAATAGTGCTTTTCAAGCTTTCATGTACATGTGAATCCCTTGGAGATAACAGCTCAGATTTTCAGGCCCAATGCCCCCATCAGCTGAGGCAAGCCATAGGAATACACGTTTTTATCCTTTTGTCTCCCAGTTTATTCTGATGTACATGGATCCTAGGGCCAGATTTTGAGAAACATTTACTTATAGAATAGCACAGAAGTGGCAGTCAAAAGACTATGGTTATGAATCTAACTTTACTATAAAATCTATCTTTGCATGCTGAGGATTTAACTTCTACTTTGAGAACATAAGAATGTATGTCAAGTATGTTGAGCTTTTAGAAAGAATATAAATTAAGGAGTCTATACATTTGAAGACAGTATAATAAAGAGCAAAATTCATGAAGCTACAAATTATGACTAGATTCCTATTCCCAGCTCTGCCACTTTATGGCCTGATGGCTGGAAAAGCTATACCCAATACCATTTCTGAATCTTAGTTTCTCCATCTTTAAAATGGAGTTAAAACCATATTCACTGAATTTGTCCTATTCAACTGGAATGTAAGTTCCATGAAATCAGAGACTCGTCTGGTATTGCTCACTGCTATATATCCAGCACCTAGTATAGTGCCTGACATATAGTAGCTACTCAATAAATAATTGTAAAATGGATGAACTACAGTATTTGAAATAGTCTAATAAATACTGAGAATAAAAATGGCACAGTACCTTCCCTCAGAAGCTCAGAGCCTGGGGCAGACAGAAATATGCAAAAATACTACAGCATAGTTGAATAAATAAATGTTTTGTAAAGAACATCTGAGGTAATGTAATGATGCACTACATAAATTATTAAGTGGTGGTAGCACTTGTAGTGGTAGCACTTGCAAAGAACCAAAATAAGAATGCAGAGTTCTAGAATGGGTCTTTTAACCCTTTAAAGTGTTTTCTACAAAGGTGCTATGATCGATTTGTACATGAGACTAATAATCCAGATATGTACACATACATGTGTGCATACATATGTGTGTATGGTAGGGAAGAGGGTAGTGGAAGGGATTGAACACAAGTTGGAAAGGATAGTGGAGAGGTGGTAGTAACGACAGAAAAGAACAAGGAGGCATAGATGCAGCTATTCCATTCCTTCATCCTTTGGTGGTACTCATTTTAAATTTTTTAGTACCCATATCAATAAAGCCGTAAGAACCAAAAGTTAGGTTGGTGTAGAGGAAAAGAACGTGTTTAAACAAAACAAAAAATAGACTTAGGTCTCCTATAAATGGTACTTTGACCTTATTGATTGCCAAAAGTCTTCAATTATTTGGGGTTTTCCATTTGTTTTTAAGGCCAGAGGTCAGACTAGTAATTGTTAAGTCTTCACAGTTTAGTAGGTAGAAAAAATGCTTTTAAACCAGCCTAAATCATTTTTATACTGTTACATAATAGAATTATTTTTAAAAGCCAACTCCTGATAAATGAAAATGGTTTCCTACGCTGTGAAAGGCAGTGTGGGTTTTTACAACCATTTTTAGACTTCCTTTTTGATAGATCTCTTTTCAAAATGTACATACTGATTTCCTTCATATGCTGGTTCTTCTATTTATATTACAAAGTTAAATTTGTATATCTTTGAGACACAGATTTATAATGTGTTATCCAAAGAGATTGCTCTTAAAGATAGGTGAACCTTCTGATATTATTACAACAGTTCTGTAGGTATGCACATTTTTCTGGAGACTGTTCCATGTTTTTAAAGACATCATGTCCAAAGCAAGGCCCTAAGAGAACAGGTTTAGTTCATTCACCCAAGTAATTCTCTTCTTTATGACTACTGTGGGGACTGTAATGTATAGTTAAAAGTATGTGAAGGTCATCTCTCCATATTTTTGTTTATATAAATATTTGTTGCCTTAAAAAAACTTTATGAAATCAAAACAGAAATATCATGAGTCTTAGAATGTGTGTTTTACCTCATGATGTGTTTGTGTAGGTCCGATTCCCATCCCACTTCAGCTCAGATCTCAAGGACCTTCTACGGAACCTGCTGCAGGTGGATTTGACCAAGAGATTTGGAAATCTAAAGAACGGTGTCAGTGATATAAAAACTCACAAGTGGTTTGCCACGACAGATTGGATTGCTATTTACCAGAGGAAGGTGAGACTTTCTTTTTTAATTTAAAAGCTTTTTTAAAGTTGGTGTTTAAATTATATGTGGTAGAGATATTTTCAACTTAACACAGTTTTTATTTTTTTACCTTTTGAATTAATCTTGTGCAGGATCTAAAGTACTTTACAGCCCACAACTTAAAAATGAGTTTCCCCCTAGAATTTTTTTTTTTTTGAGGTGGAGTCTCACTCTGTAGTCCAGGTTGGAGTGCAGTGACACAATCTCAGCTCACTGCAGCCTCCACTTCCTGGGTTCAAGCGATTCTCCTGCCTCAGCCTCCCAAGTAGCTTGCACTATGGATGCATACCACCACACCTGGCTAATTTTTTGTATTTTTAGTAGAGACGGGGTTTCATTATGTTGGCTAATTTTTTGTATTTTTAGTAGAGACTGGGTTTCACTGTGTTGGCCAGGCTGGTCTTGAACTGACCTCAAGTGGTCTACCTGCCTCAGCCTCCCAAAGAGCTGGGATTGCAGGCATGAGCCACCATGCCCAGCCCCACCTAACTTAAAAAGAAAGCATATATTCTATTTTAATCATCAACCTGAAATGTTTCCTTTGTTAAATTTTTCCTATCTATGCCTGTTACTCTTTACAAAACTGTGAAAATTATATATTAGACAGTGTTCTAAGGGTTTTCAAAACTAATGAGAAGTCCCATTAGGAAGATAATATCTATATAAATATAGTTGCCCATCTAGAATTGGCATGTGCCAGATATATAATAACATTTAATTGCTACTTTCATCCCTTTTTAGTCTTCATTTTGACCTCCCTATGGCATTTATCAGGATTACACATTTTTAATCTAGTGTTTCCCAAACAGACCATGCTTTATCACATTCCGTGCCTGTGTAAATTTTTTTTTCCTTTATGCTGAATGACTTCTCCCATTTGTGCATCTGCCCTACTCTTATTTATCTTTTAAGATTTAGCTTAAATAGTACCTCTACTCTGATATTTTTCTCTGATGGGTATTCTTTATTAATATATACTCACTGTTGTTTTAAAACATTTCATTGAGAACAGGTACCTTATCTTGTTTTCATATTCCTGTCATCTGAAAAGAGCTTTATGATTGGCACATGCTCACTAAACGTTTTCTGACTAAAATGAGCATTGGTCTCTCTTTAGATACAAGTTTCATTTATCCGTTTGAAAGCTAATTTGAACATAATTCATGCAATAGGGGTTTTAATTCATGCTTTTTTCGGAAGGTCAAAACAAATTATCTGAAGTTACTACTTTTCTTCTTTTAACAATTATTTATTCACGTGAGATTTTTCCAAATTGTTATCAGGTGCCTGCTTATATATTACGTATTCTGCAAGGTGCTGAGAATACAATGATGAGCAAAATCAACCTTTATTCCTGCCCGTATGAAGCTTATACTTTCAGGGGACAGGGAGATTAGATGGTCATATAAATGAATTTAAATTACTATAGGGTGAGAAATGTGGAAATTCAGAAAAACTTTGCACCTGAGTTTTTTGAGATTTGTTTTATTTGGTATTTTGTTTGACTCTTTGCTTGCTTAAGGGATTCTTAGTGTTAGAAATTCAGGAAACTTGAAGACTTGAATATAAATATATATATCAAGTTAATCTCTGGCATTAGTATACCACCATAATAAAATAGACAACAAATCCCAGCTAAACAGTAGTATATTTAAAAGAAAGTAGTTTTTGTTTTGTTTTGTTTTTGTAACACAAGGTGCCAGTATAGCAGTTGTGGTAACAGTAATATATCAATTGATGGTAGTTATTTCACTTTTATAATAATTTGAGATATTTAAGAAAAGATTTTGCTGCACTGAATTGCATTTATCTCTCATTTTGCTTCTTAAATGTTTAAATTTGCATAAAGTGTTTTCATTATATATTTAATTTTTTTCTTTTTTTCATAAAACCAAAACTTCTAATGTTTTAGAGACTTGTCATCTTGAATAATGTCATGCAAATACATGATTGAGTTTTCTTAAGGAAAAAAATTAATGCTCTAATTAAGTATTAAAAACACAGTTTTTCTAATTTATATATTTTACAAATGATTACAATAACAAGCTGGGTGCCCTGGCTCACACCTGTAATCCTAGCACTTTGGGAGGCCAAGGTGGGTGGATTGCTTGAATCTCAAGGGTTTCAGTCCAGCCTGAGCAACATGGCAAAACCCTGTCTCTACAAAAAGTACAAAAATTAGCTGGGTGTGATGGCTCAGCCCTGTAGTCCCAGTTACTTGGGAAGCTGAGCCTGGGAGATTGGGGCTACAGTGAGCTTTGATTATACCACTACACTCCAGCCTGGGAAACAGAGCAAGACCCTGTCTCAAAAACCAAATTACAATAACAAAACAATTAAATAATTTTAAAATGCAGCAAAAAGAAATGTAGCCAGACCAAAGCAATGTGAATGCAATACAGCCTCTCTATCTCACAAGAGGGATCCAGAAAATCTCTGTTCAAAGTTCATGAAATATTATGAAATATGGCTGTTAGCATTATTATCACAAATAGTTGTGTTATATAGTCAAGAACAAGATTCATAGCACTTTAAAATAGATTTAGATCTCATAAAAAATTTATATTTTTTCTAAATTTGCTAGCACCGATGCAATACGATATAATTAATAAAAGCAACTCTCTATAACTTCTCATTTCAGTCTTCAATTTAATCCTGTGAAATAAGTGATGCCATTTTCCCCATTTTACAGATGTGGAAATCAGCTCAGAGAGGTTAATTAATTTAAATATAATCATGCAGCTGCTAAATAATACCTATATTTGATCCCAGGTTCTTCAGATTCTCAATTCCAGGTTACATTATCCTTTTAAAGTCCTTCTGACATGGTTCTTAAAATGAAGCTCCAAACCACTAAACAATACATTGTTTCACAAGATTTTCATGGATTTTACAGGTATCATCTTCTTAACTTTTATGCAGTGAGCATTTTGGGAGTAGGATGACTGTCTCAAAAGGTAGCAAAGAAAGAGAATAAACTATGGGGTTAGGTAGACATTGGTTTGAATCCCTGATCGACCAATCATTAGCAGTATGATCATGAACAAATGATTTAACCTCTCTAAGCATCAGTTTTATCACCCTTAAAATTTGGATTTGGACAGAAAATACAAAAGGCAGAGTAGTTTGGTGAGAAAGATTAGATAGATTGGCCCAGGCTCCATTTTCCTTTCTGGTTGAGATAGGTTTCATTTACTTATAATCAGGTAATTTATTAAGCAAATGAATTTGACATTGGCAGAATTCCACCATCCAAATAGAACCTCTTTTAGTATTTGACATACGTCTTTTTCCTTTTTTTTTTTTCCTGTGCTCTTCATCACTGCAGTCCAGTCCTATGATCTCAGTAGCCAGCTAAGATGTACTTCCTCCAACCCTGCACTTTAACTCTCTCCTTCAGTCTCTTATATCACAGTTGCTACATACTGCATAATTACATCTGAGTGACTTACTGCTATATTATACAATCATTTAAAAATAGGCCAGGTGCAGTGGCTCACACCTGTAATCCCATCAGTTTAAGAGGCTGCAGTGGGAGGATCTCTTGAGCCAGGAGTTCAAGACCAGATGGGCAACATAATGAGACATCGTCTCTTCTGAAAATAAAAAAGAATTAGCCTGGTGTGGTGGTGCACACTTAAGTCCCAGCTACTCTGGAGGCTGAGGCAGGAGGATCACTTGAGCCCAAAAGGTCAAGGCTGCAGTGATCCATGATCATGCCACTGTACTCCTGCCTGGGCTACAGAGCAAGACCCTGTCTCTAAAAGAAGAAAAAAAAAATCCTGCTCCACAATAAATATGTTTATTTAACTTTTATTTTCTTTTAGTGCTTTCTGAACTCTAACTTATTTTTGTTGTTGTTGTATAATAATTAACCAGTTGTCCCCTCCATACTATTGAATGATTCTTATTTGGCCTCTTATTTGAAATTCTACCTTTACTAATATTAAATTAAGATACACATTGATCTATTTCTGAACTTATTTTTTTGTTTTTATTGATGCATATTTTTATATTTTCATAAAGTACATGTTATATTTTAATACATGCATAGTATTTATAGTGATGAAAGCTGGATATTTAGCATATCCACTATCTTGATCATTTATTATTTATTTGTTTTGGGAACATTTCAATTTTCTGTTCCAGTTTCTTTGAAATATACAATATATTGTGAACTATAACCACTGGCTGCGCTATCAAATGCTAGAACTTATTACTTCTGTCTAACTGTACGTTTGGTCTCAGTAGCTTAGTTCTCTTTATCCCTTCCCCAACATGGACACATCCATCCCAGCCTCTGGTAACTGTCATTCTATACTTTACCTCCATGAGATCAACTTTTTAAGGTTCACCATATAAGTAAGAACATGTGATAGTGTCTTTCTGTGACTGACTGATTTCACTTTACAGAATGTTCTGTTTCCATCAATGTTGCTACAAATAACAAGATTCCATTCTTTTTTTACAGCAAAATAGTATTCCATTATGTATATATATTACCTTTTCTTTACCCATTCATCTACTGAAGGACGCTTAGATTGATTCCATATCTTTGCTATTATGTATAGTGCTGTAATAAACATGAGGATTCAGATATTGCTTTGATATACTGATTTATTTTCCTTTGGATAAATGCCTATTAGTGGAATTGCTGAATTGTATGGTAGTTCTATTTTTAGATTTTTGAAAAATCTCTATACTGTTTTCCATAGTGGCCGTACTAATTTACATTTTTGCTGACAGTGAATAAGAATTCCCTTTTCTCCACATCCACTCCAGCACTTGTTATTTTTTGTCTTTTTGATAACAGCCATTCCACCTGGGTATGATATCTCACTGTGATTTTTGATTTGCATTTCCCTGATAATTAATCATTTTGAGCATTTTTTCATATACCTGTTGGCCATTGTAAGTCTGGTTTTGAGAACTGTCTACTCAGATCCTTTACCCATTTTATTTTTAGCAGTTGAATTGTTGGAGTTCCTTGTATATTCTGGATATTAGTCCCTTCTTGGATGAAGGGACTTGCAAATAGTTTCTTCCATTCAACAGGTTGTCTTTTACTCTTTTGATTGTCTCCTTTGTGCTGTAGAAGCTTTTAATATAGCCCTAATTGCCTATTTTTGTTTTTGTAGCCTGTGGTTTTCAGGACTTAGCCATAAAATCTTTTTTCTTTTTTTTTTTTTTTTTTTTTTTAGTTGGAGTTTTGCTCTTGTTGCCCAGGCTGGAGTGCAATGGCACAATCTCAGTTCACTGCAACCTCCACATCCCTGGCTCAAGCAATTCTCCTGCCTCAGCCTCCTGAGTAGCTGGGATTACAGGCGCCCAGCACCAGGCTCAGCTGACTTTTGTATTTTTAGTACAACAGGGTTTCACCATGGTGGTCAGGCTGGTTTCAAACTCCTGACCTCAGGCAATCCACCTGCCTCAGCCTCCCAAAGTGCTGGGATTACAGGCATGAGACACTGTACCTGGCCCATAAAAAATCCTTAACTAGACCAATCTTTAACTAGAGCATTTCCCCTGTGTTTTCTTCTATAATTTTTATGGGTTGGGCCATATTTTTAAGTACTTAATTCATTTTTAGATTTGGAGATATGGTAAGAGAGAGGGGTCTGGTTTAAGCCTTTGCATATGGATATCCAGTTTTTTCAGCACCATTTATTGAAGAGAATGTCCTTTCCCCATTGTATGTTCTTGGTGCCTTTGTCAAAAATCAGTTCTCTGTAATATGTGGTTTTATTTCTGGGCTCTCTGTTCTGTTCCATTGATCTCTGTGTCTGTTTTTATACCACTACCATGCTGTTTTAGTTACTCTTGCTTTGTAGTATATTTTGAAGTCAGGTAGTGTGATGTCACAGCCTTGCTCTTTTTGCTCTGGATTACTTTGGCTATTCAGGCTCTTTTGTGGTTCCATACAAATTTTAGGGGTTTTTTTCTGTTTCTGTGAAGAATATAATTGGTATTTTGACAGGAATTACATTGAATCCATAGCTTCCCTTGGATAGTTTGATCATTTTAATAATATTGATTTTTCTGATTCATGACCATGAGTTGTCCTTCTATTTGTTTGTGTCCTTTTTAATTTTTTCATCAGTGTTTTGTAGTTTTTCTTGCAGAGGTCTTTCACCTCTTTGGTTAAATTTATTCCTAGGTATTTTATTTTATTTTTTGTAGCTATTATAAATGGACTACATCCCTGATTTCTTTCTTAGCTAGATCATTATTGATGTATGAAATGTCACTGATTTTTTATCTTAATTTTCTATTCTGTACCTTTACTTAATTTGTTTATCAGTTCTAAGAATACTTTGGTGGAGTCTTTAGGTTTTTCTACATATAAGATCATGTCACCTGAAAAGAGGGACAGTTTGACATCCTCTTTTTCTATTTAGATGCTTTGTATTTCTTTCTCTTCCCTGATTGATCTGGCTAGGACTTCCATTACTATGTTGAATAGGAGTGGTGAAAGTGGACATCCTTGTCTTGTTCCAGTTGTTAGAGGAAAGACGATTTCAACTTTTCCTCATTCAGTTAGCTGTGAGTTTGTCATATATGGCCTTTATTATGTTGAGGATCTTCTATGCCTAATTTGTTGAGAGTTTTTATCAGGAGGGGATGTTTACTTTTATCTAATGCTTTTTTCTGCATCTATTGAGAGGATCATATCATTTTCGTTGTTCCTTCTACTAACGTGATATATCATGTTAATTGATTTGCATATATTGAATGATCTTTGCATCCCTGAGATAAATCCCCCTTGATCATGGTGTATTATATATTCGATGTGTTATTGGATTTTTGTTAGCTAGTATTTTGTTAAGGATATTTGTGTCTATATTTGTCAGAAATATTATCTGGTAGTGTTCTTTTGTTGTTGTTGTTGTGTATTGTCTGGTTTTGTATCAGAGTACTGCTGGCCTTGTAGAATGAGTTAGGAAGAATTCCCTCTTCTCCAATTTTTTGGAATGGTATGAGATGAATTGATGCTAGTTCTTCTTTATAAGGTTGATAGAATTGAGCAATAAAGCCATCCAGCCCTGGGCTTTTCTTTAATGTTTGGTGGGAATCTTTTTATTACATATGCAATCTGTTCCTCATTATTGGTCTGTTAAGATTTTCTATTTCTTTCTGATTCAGTCTTCATAAGTTGTATGTGTCCAAGAGTTTATCCATTTCTTCTAGGTTTTCCAGTTAGTTAGCATATAGTTGTTTATAATGGGCTCCAATGATCTCTTGTATTTCTGTGGTATCAGTTGTAACATATTTTTATTTCTGATTTTGTTTATTTGGGTCCTCTCTCTTTTTTCCTTGGTTAATCTAGCTAGCAGTTTATCAATTTTGGTTATTTTTTCACAAAAACAACCTATCATTTTGATAATCGTTTGTATGTTTTTTCTCTATTTCATTTAGCTATGCTCTGATCTTTATTATTTCTTTCCTTCTACTAATTTTGTTTGTTTTGTTCTTGCTTTTCTAGTTCCTTGAGGTACATTATTATGTCGCTTATTTGAAATCTTTATACTTCTTGGTGTAGGTGTTTATTGCTGTAAACTTCTCCTTAGCACTGCGTTTGTTATATTCCATAGGTTTTGGTATATTGTGTTTTCATTTTTGTTTGCTTTAAGAGTTTTTTTATTTCTTTCTTTATTTCTTCATTAGTCCAGTAATCATTCAGGAGCATATTGTTTCATTTCCATCTATTTATACAGATTCCAAAGTGCTTGTTGCTATTGATTTCTAGTTTTTTCCATCAGGATTTGAGAAAATGCTTGATATGATTTCAAGTTTTTAAAATTTGTTGAGACTTGTTTTGTGGCCTAACATAAATGGTCTATCCTGGAGAATGTTCTGTGTGCTTATTAGAAGAATGTGTATTCTGCAACTATTGGCTAAAATGTATAAATGTCTTCTAGGTACATTTGTCTACAGTGCAGTTTATTTCCAATTTTTTGGTTGATTCTCTGTCTCAATAATCTGTACAATGCTGGGAATGGAATATTAAATTCCTCAATTATTATTGTATTGGAGTCTGTCTCTCTTTTTAGTTCTGATAATATTTGCTTTATATATCTGTGTGTTCTAGTATTGGATTCATATATATTTGGAATTGATCCCTTTATCATTATGTAATGACCTTCTTTGTCTCTTTTTACTGTTTTGACTTAAAGTTTCCTTTATTGGATATAAATTTAGATACTCCTGCTTGTTTTTGTTTTCCATTTGTATGGAATCTTTTTTCCATCTCTTCACTTTCAGTCTATCTGTGTATTTACAGGTGAAGTGAGTTTTTTTATAAGCAGCATATAGTTAGATCATGTTGTGTTTATATATTCAGCCAGTCTATATCCTTCAAGTGGATAATCTAATTCATTTACTTTTTAAGTTATTATTTATAGGTGAGGACTTATTTTTGTCATTTTAAAAAGTGTTTTCTGGTTGTTTTGTATATCCTTCATTCCTTTCTTTCTCTCTCTCTTATTGGTTATCATTGTAGTTCGATGGTTTTCTCTCATGGTAACATTTGAGTCCTTTCTCTTTCTCATTTATGTGTCTGCCCTACCAGTGACTTTTATACCTTCTTGTTTCATAATGGTAAATGTCATTGTTTCACTCCCAGATGTAGGACTACCTTAAGCATTTCTTGTACAGCTGGTGTAATAGTGATAATTCCCTCAGTTTTTGCTTGTGGAGAAAGACTTTTTTTCTCCTTAATTTTTGAAGAAAAGTTTTCTTGGTTAGTTTTAAGGTAGCTGTTTACCTTTGATGGCAGAGTTATTTTTTTTCTTTTAGTACGTTGAATATATCATCCCGTTCTCTCCTGGACTGCAGGGTTTCCCCTGAGAAATCCACATTAGTTTGATGGAAGTTCCCTTACATGTGAATAGAAAACACCTATTTGGATTGTTATCTATTTGATCTTTGAGCTTCCTGTATCTGGATTTCTAAATCTCCTAAAAGAACTGGGAAGTTTTCACCTATTATTAAATAGGTTACCTATGTCTTTACCCATCTCTTTACATTCTGGAAAACCCAAAATTTGAATATTTGATTGCTTTAATGTGTCCCCTATCCCATGTATGCTTTGTTTATTCATTTTTCCTTTTTATTCTTTTTGAGGGGTTTTGTCTGAATTATTTCAAAAGGCTTGTCCTCAGTTCTTCTCCTTGATCTAGTCTATTGTCAAAGCTCTCAGTTTTATTTTTTATTTTATTCATTGAATTCTTCAGTTCCAGGATTTCTGTTTGGTTCTTTTTTTACACTATCTATTTCTTTGTTGAATTTCTTACTCATATCCTGATTTGTTTTCTTAATTTCTTTGTATTGTTTTTCTGTGTTCTCCTATCTCACTGAACTTCTTTAATACCATTATTTTGAATTTTTTTCAGACATTTAATCTTTTTTTTTAATTGGAATCTGTTGCTGGAGAATTATGTTCTTTTGGAGGTATCATTTTTCTTTCCTTTTTCATGTTTCTAGTATACTTACATTAACATCTCCACATCTGGTGTAACAGCCATTTCCTACAGTTTTAGGACTAGTTTTTGTAGGGTAAGACTTTTTTCTGTACATGTATCATCATGTTGGTTTGCTTTTTCTCCTTAATTTTAGTTTTTATTCTGAGTGCATACAGTAGTGAAGTCTCTATGATTTCTTCAGCTATAATTAGCATCAGTGGGTGTCTGTGATTTCCTCAGTGGCTTAGGCCTCAGTTGTTAGTGGAGGCTGTGGTGAGGCTTTTCTGGGGGCAGGGACACCAGGCATCCTGATCCTCAGGTCCCAGTGGTGGTAGCAGCAGGCCAAGCATACCTGCCCTTGGTCCCCTGGTGGGCATACACTGGCATCAGTTTTAGCAGCTCTACATGGGCCAATTCTTAGGTCTCCGTGTGGCTTGTTTACCAGCAGTGGCAGTAGTAGGCTGGACATATAGATGAGACCTTAGTCTCCTGTGTAGCATGTATAGCATCAGCAATGGTAGTAGTGATGGCAGGCCAACCCTCAGGCTCCCAGGTAGTACACACTGCTGCTAGTGGTGATAGCAACAGACTGGACAGGACAGGCCCTAAGCCCTCAGGTGGCATGTGTGGGTAAGTGCCAGCAGTGGTAGTGGTGGCAGACTGGGCAGGTCCAGCCTCAGGCCATTAGTGGATGCGGCAGGGCAATCCCCAGGCCCTCAGATGGCATACTTGAGCATTGGGGTTGCAGTGCCAGGAAGTGCAGGCCTTTACTCAGGCCCCTCAATGGTGCACATGGGCACAGGGTGTGGTGGGCCAAGTCAGGCAATCCCCAGGCCCTCAAACAATGTGTTTGAGTGCAGGCAGTGTGTGGTTTGGGTCTGTTTAGTTAGACGCCCTGAAGGTGCATGTGCATGCCAGAAGCAGCAAGCAGGGCAGATGGATCCCCAAGCCTCCAGACAGTGCATTCAGCCACTGTGGGAGGTACCACTAGGCAGGGAGAGCCTGTCCTCAGGCTCCCCTGTTGTACCTGTGGTTGTAGGCTCTGGTGGACAGGGCAGTCTTCAGGTCTCTGGGCAGCATGTTTTGATGCCAGTGGCTAATGGCCTGAGTTTTTTTTAATGCTTCCCAATCGTATATATATGTACCCAGAGTGATAGGCAGAGGGAGGTGCTCCCCAGGTAGTGTGCTGGGGCACTGGGAGGGGTTGCACCTAAAGGGACAGGCCTGTCCTCAGGCCCCCATTGGTGCAACCAGATGCAGACTCTGGTAGACAGGAAAGGACTATTCCTAGGCCCCTGAACAAAATACATGGGAGGTGGTAGGCAGGGTGAGTCTGTCCTCATGCCCTCGGATAGCACCCAGGTGGACCAGTTCTCAGGCCCACTGCAGGTGGTGCAAATACATGGCAGCCCTGCTGTGGGGGCTGGGCATTGCTATCAGTGGCAGTGGCCCCAGGCAGGTGGCTCTCAGGCTCTGGGGAGTGTGTGCTTTGGCTTCCTTTACACCAGAAACAGCCTTGCCTAGTGTGCTTCCCTACATGTTCTTTGCAGTGGAGGACATTGTGTGGGCTAAAGTACTGGGGACCCTGCTACACCATTGGGTCCAGCCAGCACTGTGCCACTGCAGCCCTCTTGATGGACATGGGGTGCTGTCAGTGGGGCTCCAGGTGTATAGAGATGCATACAGTCTAATGGTAGTTGGCCTCTCAAAATGGCACTGTGCTTCAGTTTCTTGGGTCCTGGGGGGTGTAGGACCCAGCACAAACTCCCTCTCTGGAACAGTGCTGTTGTGTGAACTCTAGGCAGGTCCCTATACTTATGTCAGAATTCATAAGGGTTGTGGGCATCTTACATGGCTAGGATTGCAAGAGTCTGTGGTGGAAATGTGGACCACTGGGGATTTCTCAGTTACCCTTTCCCCACACTGGATAACCTCTTCTGGCTCCCAGCTGGTCCCAGCCATGCCAGCTGCTTTACTTCCTTTTGCTTCTGCGCCTCAGATGTTCGCTGTCACTTCCCTGCTAAATTTCACTGTTCTATCTTAGAGGCTCTTTTCAACATGTAATTATCTACTCAATGTTTAGGTCCTTCTTTGTGGAGGAGAGTTCTGGGTCAGCCATCGTGAAGCCCTGACCTTTATTTTTCATGAGTTCTTTTTGTCTGTTCTTGTACTGTGTATGTTACTGCTTTATGTAGCTCTATAATATTTTAATGAATATTATATTATAATATTTTCTTCACCCTTGTTTACCCTTTCTAAATTTTTTGTTTTCTTGCCCCCTATGCTTTATTTTAGAGTGATTAGGTAATTTATATTTCCTAGAAAATCGTCCTTATCTCCTGTATATCTTCTCTTTCTTTTTTAATTAGACTTGCCAACGGTTTGTTTTTTTGGTCTTTCTAAAGATTTATTGAATTTGGAGATTAACAGTAAAGTTGCATATTAATTAGGAGAGAACCTTAATCTTGAGAATTTACCATTATGAACATGTTGCTTCTGTATTTACTCAAATATCTTTTGTCCTTCAGTAAAGTTTTAGAAACCCTCTTTCCTCCATACAGGAATGAATTTATGTCTTAAAGTTATTGATTAAATGTATATTTTGATTGCTATTATTAATGTGTTTGCTTTACCATTATAGTAGGATATGGGCAAAACACAGTTTCTATGTTTATATTATAATTGGCCATCTACTAAATTATGTTACTGATTTCCACATTTTTCAATGATTCCTTTGGATTTTTATTGACAATCACAAGAGATTGGTATATCATTTTGTCTGTCCCTTTTCAGTATTTACATTTCCATTTTTGTTTTATTATATTTATTAAAATGCCTACAACAATATTTTAATGTCTTGTTCCTGCTTTGAATTGAAATGCACTAGAATGTATTTTCTGGGATCATTTCTATAGCTTGTTGCCTTTCATGTTTTACCACCAAATATAAAGTTGGCCATTTGACTGAGATAGGTATTCTTTATCAGATTAACGAAATGTTGTTGATTCTTAATATACTTACTTTATCTTTTTTAACATGTTAGTGTGATGAATTATATCAGGGAGACATCCTCACTTTCCTGGAATGAATACCATTTAATCATGGGGTATGATTTTAGTATTTGCCTGAATCTATCTGCTAAAATTTTATTTGGGCTTTTTACTTCCATAGTCATAAGTTTTATTAATCTATAGTTACTGTTTTTCTGAAGTTGGGATTATATAGGATTCATAAAATGAGTTTAGAAAGTTTCTATGCTTTTGTTCTTCAGAAAATTTAGGAACATAGAATCATCTTATGTCTATTCCTTATCAATTTTAACAAACTAATTCTTGGATATTGGTCTCTTCAAGTTTTCACTTCTTGAGTCAATTTAAGAAATTTATGTTTCCAGTGAAATCATCCATTTCCTTTTCTTTCTATCATTACTTATATTACCGTTATTATTTTATTTATTGTTAATTAATGCTTTTTAGAGGTATATTTTTTAGACTTCCTTGAGGTTTGTGAACTTAGTATTATTAGTATTCTAAAGATTTATAATGTATTTGAATCTTTTCATATTTGTATTTAGAAATAAAATATTCTGCCAAATAGCAATTATTTACTAATCTATTCATGTTATGTGTTTAGTTTTTAATAATTATTTTCTAAAATGGGGTAGAACTAAACTGCCACTACTCATTTAGAGTTTATGTGCTTTTCAAAGGGCTTGACTTATCCCAGGTAATAAACAGCTAACGTACCAACAAGCAGCACATTGTAACATACAGTTTGTAGAAATGGACAAATTGATTGACAGCCAAATCTTGATTATCAATGAAACAGATGTAAGGCTCCCTGGACAATTTACAAATAGAAATAATAGAGTACTTTAATTTAGCCATTTATTTTAATATCTTCTCAACTATTATAACTATGCACAACAGTGCAAAAATCATAGTAAATATGAATAGTTTTCATTGTCTTCCTTATTCTCTGATGCATCTCCAAATGCATCAAGGGAATAAAAAAGGCAGAACAAAGAAGTGGCCTGAACAACTCAAACTGTACAATCATTTTCTCCACATGATTGCCCCAATAGATTTGTTATTCTAAATTGCTGGCTAGCTAGACATTAGGTAGCTATCTGCTTAGCTCATTCTACTGGAGCATGCAAAACAGCAGTCCCCAAAACAGGGCATGCAAGGCAGCCAGCTGTCAAACAAAAAGATAATATGAGAAGTCCCATTCCTGCTTATTTTTACCTTATTCTTTTTAAATGCCTTATTTGTATGTATATCTTGTATAATAGCATAGTCATGCACCTAAATAATTTATAAGTAGATAAGTACATAATGTACTAGAAAATGTCTTACTGAAAGGGATATAAGTTAAAAACCTTTGGAGAACTGTGGGCCAGAAGTAGAGAATCATGAATTTGAAACCTGCTTTAGCCGCTTATTAGTCATGTGAATTTGGTTGACTCTTTTATAATCTGTAAAATGGGAGTAAGAACACCTGTCCTTCCTTCCTCACAGTGTTGTATTGAGAACAAAATAAAGCAACTCTAGTAGTTTGTAAATTCTATAAAGGCTGTGCGAATTGTGAATTTTTTTTTTAAGTTTTTAAAATCTTTTCCTCAAATGTATTCAGTATCCCCATTTAATCTTTACAGAAGACCATAATCGAAGTAGTGGAAAGACATTTTACTTTCAGGATCAAAGGAGAAAACTGTTTAAGGTTTAACAGTTCTCTCATTCTAAAAGAGATATGTTTCTTTCCAACTTCTCGGAAAGTTTTGATGGCCAGCTATTTTAAACAAAATAAACTTGGGAATTAATAAAGGAGAGCAATTAAAAGTAAGTCTGAGATTTATCTGTAACTTCAGGAGAAAAGAATTTTTACAAAAGGGATAGAAAAAGATAAGGTTTTAAAAAACAAGGAACTGAAAAAGGAAGACTAAAGTTTTATAGCCTTAGGAGCCAGAATTTTGGTAATTATCCAAGAAATTTCTTAAGTATTTCATTGACCTGCATACTTCCTTGAATGAAAATGTTGAGATTAATAGCTAACCTCCTGCTTGCCGCTTCTTCTAGCACTACTATATTTTAGGAATCTAATGGCATCTACTGATTCCACCATGCAATAACAGTGGGAATTTATTTTTCTTTGTGTTTAGAAACTCTCAGGAATTTTTTTTTCCTTTTTCTTATTTTTTTTTTCTCTCTCTCAATAATAGGTTGAAGCTCCATTCATACCAAAGTTTAGAGGCTCTGGAGATACCAGCAACTTTGATGACTATGAAGAAGAAGATATCCGTGTCTCTATAACAGAAAAATGTGGAAGAGAATTTGATGAATTTTAAAGAGGAACAAGATGACATCCGAGCTCACACTCAGTGTTTGCACTCTGTTGAGAGATAAGGTAGAGCTGAGACCGTCCTTGCTGAAGCAGTTACCTAGTTCCTTCATTCCAACTGAGTGAGGTCTTTATTGCCATCATCCCGTGTGTGCACTCTGCATCCACCTATGTAACAAGGCACCGCTAAGCAAGCATTGTCTGTGCCATAACACAGTACTAGACCACTTTCTTACTTCTCTTTGGGTTGTCTTTCTCCTCTCCTACATCCATTTCTTCCTTTTCCAGTTTCATTGTTTTCTCTAAACAGTGCTCCATTTTATTTTGTTGGTGTTTCAGATGGGCAGTGTTATGGCTATGTGATATTTGAAGGGAAGGATAAGTGTTGCTTTTTGCCAATATTGTTGTTGGTCAATGGCTTGAAGATAAACTTTCTAATAATTATTTTTACTTTGGGTAGCTCAGACTCGGTTTTGCCAAAACTCTTGATAATTTTTGAAGACTGTCTTATCACCAAGGAAATTTATACAAATTAAGACTAGCTTTCTTGGAATTCACTATTCTGGCAATAAATTTTGGCAGACTAGTACGTACAGCTAGACCCAGAAATTTGGATTGCTATAAATCAAAGGTTCTAGTTCCCTTTCCCTCCTTTTATATCCTCCTCCCCTTGAGTAATGAAGTGACCAGCCTTTGTAGTGTGACAAATGTGTCTCATTCAGCAGGAAAAACTAATGATATGGATCATCACTCAGATTCACTCACTTGGTACCAGCATTTTTGTAGGTATTAGAGAAGAGTTTAAGTTTTCTAAACCTTAACTGTTCCTTAAGGATTTTAGCCAGTATTTTAATAGAACATGATTAATGAAAGTTTTAAAGTTTCTTTAATAGTTCTCATCATAAACTTTTTAAAGGAAAATAAGCAAACTAAAAAGAACATTGGTTTGGATAAATACTTATACTTTTCAAAGTCAAAAAAAGGCTTGATTGCTGAAACAATATAGAGGTACTTATATTTAAATAAGGGTTAACTGTTTTGTTTTGTAACCATTAAAAATGAAAGAAGTTGTTTCCAGCTAATGATTCTGGTGTACTATATTTGTGAGCCTAGGGTAGGGGCACTGCTGCAACTTCTGCTTTCATCCCGTGCCTCATCAATGAGGAAAGGGAACAAAGTGTATCAAACTGCCACAATTGCATTTTCATTTTGAGGTATGATATTTTCAGATAGTTCATCATTTATAACCTCTTTTCTCTCAGTAAACAGAATGTCTAAACGATCGTACAGATACAATTTTAGTATTTGAGAGGTTAGTTTTTTTCCTACACCTTTTTTGCCAACTGACTCAACAACATTGCTGTCAGGTGGAAATTTCAAGCACTTTTGCACATTTATTTCAGTGTTTGTTGAGAATCCGTGGCTTAACTCAGTTGTTTTGCTTTTTCTTTGCTTTTAATTTTCCCCATCTGATTTTATCTCTGTTTTAGTGACCTACATTAAAACTACACACAAGAAGAGTTAAACTAGGTTCGTTTTTATGATCAATTTACATGCATATAAAGTGAGTTGTTTTAAATCAAACTGATCTTAATGTATATAACCATTCTATTTGCTGTATTATCGGTGCAGGTAGGTCACTCACATCACTTCTTTTCATCCGTACCACACCCTTGTAAAATCTTTGAAGACTTAAAAAAAATCCTGTCTGAGATGTTCTTCTACCAATCTATATGTCTTTCAGTTATCAAGTGTTTCTGCATGGTAATGTCACGTAAAGGCCAATATTGATTTCACTGGTCCATCTATATTTAAAATGTGCAATTTAAAATACTCTGCTCTAGCAAGTTTTATGTAACAAAAGCATATCGTCATGTTAATAAATTTAAAACATCATTTGTATAAAATATTTTAATTTTCTTGTATTTCATTTAGACCCAAAACATGCTGACCAATGTATTCTATATGTAAACTACAAATTCTATGGTAGCTTTGTTGTATATTATTGTAAAATTATTTTAATAAGTCATGGGGATAACAATTTGATTATTACAATTTAGTTTTCAGTAATCAAAAAGATTTCTATGAATTCTAAAAAATATTTTTTTCTATGAAATTACTAGTGCCCAATGATAGAATCTACCTTAGGTAGATGACCCCTAGACATACATTGCTTTTGAGGGCTATTCAGCCATTCCATTTTAAGGCCACTCTATTTAAAGGCCATGAGCGAGCAAGCTTGTCATGAGCAAATAAGTCAAGGGAGTCCATTTCTGACCAATCAAGTACACTAAATTAGAATATTTTTAAAGTATGTAAAATTCCCAATTTCAGCCACAATTTAGCCAAGAACAGGTTAAAAACTTGAATACGAAATAAATAGCATAAATTAGTATTTAACCTCAAATTACATTATTTAAAACAGAAGATATTATATTACGCTCCGTAAATAATTAAGAGATGGCATTGCATAAGAAGGAACCCTAGACTGAAAGTCAAGACATCTGAGTTTCAGGCTGGAAAACAGTATGATCTCAGCCTCAGTTCTCTTATCTGTAAAATGGAAGAATTGGATTAGGCAGTTTGTAAGATTCCTCCTAACTTTCACAGTGGTTGACAAGATTGCGTTTTTATCTGGTATTTTGAAAGGATATATTGCTTTGAAGCAAGTGTCAGTAAGGTGATATATTTTAGGGCATCTTTCTTCCTATCTCTGACAGTATTCTTAAAATACTTTGAATATCCTAAGAACCTTAGTGTCTGTCCTAATTCCTTTCTCATTCACTGATGCTGAATACCCAGTTGCATCAAACTGTCAACCTACCAAAAAAGATACTGTGGCTTATGGGTATTGCTGTCTCATTCTTGGTATATTCTTGTATTGACTGCCCATTGGCCTGAAAATACTCATTGTAAGCCTGAAAAAAAAAATTCTTTCCCACTGTTTTTTCTGCTTGTTGTAAGAATCAAATGAAATAATGTATGTGAAAGCACCTTGTAAACTGTAACCTATCAATGTAAAATGTTAAGGTGTGTTGTTATTTCATTAATTACTTCATTGTTTAGAATGGAATTTCCTATGCGCTACTGTAGCTAGGAAATGCTGAAAACAACTGTGTTTTTTAATTAATCAATAACTGCAAAATTAAAGTCTCTTCAATGGATAAGACAATTGATTGAGTCTTGAATTCTGCTTGATGCCCTTATCTTCGGATTTATTTTCCGCTGATACAAGAGATGCTTATAGATTCCTAGTTTTTATGTATTTGGGTTGGTTTCTGGGTGGTGGGAGCAGAACAGATGGGTGAGGAATATATCCACCAGTGTACTCACACTAGATGTTTACTAAGAAACTGCTAGATTCATTACATAGTTTCTCAAAAGTATTTCTACTTCCTTCTCATGTCTCATATTGGTTCAGATTACTCCTAACACAATGTTCTAAATATTCATATTTAAAGGATTTGATACTTCAAGAGCTGTCATCCTTATACTGTAACAATGAACTATTTCTAATTTTTTCTTCAGGAGTGTTTTTGAGCTACACATTACCTCTTTTCATTTTAGCCAAGTTAATTGGTGTGTATTTCCATAGTTGTCCTTTACCTCAAGAAATAATCATTTCTTTAGATAATTTTAATGGCTTGCCATTTTGTATGATTGTTCTTACATATATATTTATGCATTTTACAACATGGAGCTTATTATTTTTATACCAGTGCTCACTTCATTTTATCATTATCAGGGTTTAATATAAATTGCAGTTTTCTCATTTCCTTGTAAAACTAATTACAAAAATCTAGGTATGTCTTCACTGCAGAACTATCATCATTTGAAATTTATTTAACTGTAAATTTTCTCTTGTGCACAAATACTGAATATGAAGTTAAGTACTTATTTTCATTAAAACTTTTTTGAAGATTTTCCATATGCTTATTTAACAGCCTTTTTGCATGGTGTTATGGCCTGGATTGTGAGCTGTGAACAAAATTCATACTGAAATTCTAACCGATAATACCTTAGCATATGATTGTTTTAGGAGATAAGGCCTTTAAAGAGCTAAAGTAAAATGAGGTCATATGGGTGAGTCTTCATCCAAGATGATTCATGTCCTCATAAAAAGCACACAAAGGGAGGACCACATGAAGACATAGGGAAAAGATGACCATCTACAGGACAAGGACAGAGGCTTCAGAAGAAGCTGACTCTACCAACATCTTGATTTTGGACTTCTAGACTCCAGAATTGCGAAAAAATAAATTTCAGTTGTTTAAGCTGCCTAGTCTGTGATACTTCTTCTTGGTAGCCATAACAAAGTATTAATAATATACCTGCTAAACTAAGTATTCTTGTGGTAAAAGGCTTGTATTGATTTCTCTTCATATGCTTTATACTTGGGCAAAACTGTATTTAACACAGGCCAAAAAAAAAAGTAAGTGTGGTCACAAACCTCAATGCACCTGCTATCTTGTTTCTGTTCTTCTTGGAATACAAGCAGGAAACAGTAGCCACTAAGATGCTAAGAGTAAGGGAAAGCATGGGTAACTCAAACCACTACTAACTCCTGGTCAGACTTACCCCGTAGAAGGATAGCTCTCCTCTTGAAGCAGTCCTAATGTAACATAAAATTCAGCACACCAGATTCATTGAGTTTATGGTCTCTGCCCATCGTTTAGTGGTGATACTAACAATGAAATAGCCAAAAGGAAAGTGGGAGTGCAAATAAAGGGTTAATGAGAATACCTCAGCTGGTTTGGCCTCTCCTGATTATTCAGGGGTTAGTAATGCTCACAGCAAATGATGGCCTTAATGTATTTAGTTTTCTATCGCTGCTCTAACAAGTCTTCACAAACCTAGCAGCTTAAAACAACATAAATTTATTTTCTTACAGTTCAGGAGGTCTAGCAGCCACAGTGAGCCACACTGGGTTAAAATTGGGGTGTTGACAAGATGCGTTTCCTTCTGGAGGCTCCAGGGAAGAAGCCATTTCCAGCTTCCACCTTCCAGAGGCCACCTGCTTTCCTTGACTGATGATGCCATTCCTCCATCTTCAAAGCCAGCAACATTAGCCCAAGTCCTTCTCATGCTGCATCACTCTCACTTTCTCTTCTGCCTCCCTGTTTCACTCTTAAAGACCCTTGTGATTATATTAGGCTCACCTGAGTAATCCAAGCTAATCTCCCTATTTTATTTATTTATTATTTTTTAAAATTTATTTTTATTTCAATAGGTGTTGGGGGAACAGGTGGTGTTTGGTTACATGAATAAGTTATTTAGTGGTGATTTCTGAGATTTTGGTACACCCATTACCCAAGCAGGGTACACTATACCCATTATGTAGTCTTTTATCCCACACCCCCCTCCCACCCTTTCCCCTGAGTCCCCAAAGTCTATTGTTTCACTCTAATGCCTTTGTGTCATAGCTTAGCTCCTGATTATGAGTGAGAACATACGATGTTTGGTTTTCTATTCCTGAGTTACTTCACTTAGAGTAATAGTCTCCAATCCCATCCAGGTTGCTACAAATGCCATTAATTCATTCCTTTTTATGGAAGAGCAGTATTCCATGGTATATAGAAACCATATTTTCTTTATCTACTCATTGGCTGATGGACATTTGGGCTGGTTCCATATTTTTGGAATCGTGAACTGTGCTGCTATAAACATGCTTGTGCAAGTATCTTTTTCATATAACAACTTCTTTTCCTCTGGGTAGATACCCAGGAATGGGATTGCTGGATCAAATGGTAGACCTACTTTCAGTTCTTTAAGGAATCTCCACACTGTTTTTCATAGTGGTTGTACTAGTTTACATTTCCACCAACAGTGTAAAAGTGTTCCCTTTCACCACATCCACGCCAACATCTATATACTTTTTTATTTTATGATTGTGGCCATTCTTGCAGGAGTGAGGTGGTATTGCATTGTGGTTTTGATTTGATTTGCATTTCTCCGATAATTAATAATGTTGAGCATTTTTCCATATGCTCGTTGGCCACTTGTATTTATTCTTTTGAGAATTGTCTATTCATGTCCTTAGCCTGCTTTTTGGTGGGTCTTTTTTTTTTTTTTTTTTTTGAGACAGAACCTCACTCCATCTCCCAGGCTGGAGTGCAGTGGCATGATCTTAGCTCACTGCAACCTGTGCCTCCTAGGTTCAACTGATTTTTCTGCCTTGGCCTCCCAAGTAGCTGGGATTACAAGCATGTGCTAGCATGCCCGGCTAATTTTTTATATTTTTAGTAGAGATGGGGTTTCACCATATTGGCCAGCCTGGTCTTGAACTCCTGACCTCAAGTGATCCACCCACCTCAACCTCCCAAAGTGCTGGGATTACAGGCATCAGCCATCATGCCTAGCTGGAATTGTTTTTCACTTGCTGATTTGAGTTCTTTGTAGATTCTGGATATTAGTCCTTTGTGGGATGTATAGATTGTGAAGACTTTCTCCCACTTTGTGGGTTGTGTGTTAACTCTGCTGATTATTTCTTTTGCTGTGCAGAAGATTTTTAGTTTAATTAAGTCCCAACTATTTATCTTTGTTTTGTTGCATTTGCTTTTGGGTCCTTGGTCATGAAGTCTTTGCCTATGCCAATGTCTAGAAGAGTTTTTCCAATGTTATCTTCTGGAATCTTTATGGTTTCAGGTCTTAGATTTAAGGCTTTGATCCATCTTGAGTTGATTTTTATATAAAGTGAGAGATGAGGATCCAGTTTCATTCCTCTACAGGTGGCTTGCCACTTATCCCAGCACTATTTGTTAAATAGGGTGTCCTTTCTCTCACTTTTTGCTTTTGTTTGCTTTGTCGAAGATCAGTTGGGTGTAAATGTTTGGCTTTATTTCTGGGTTCTCTATTCTCTTCCATTGGTCTATGTGCTTATTTTTATAGCAGTACCATGTTGGTACTGGCTTTGTAAACTTGTTAATAATAATATGACCTGCACTTATTTTTGTTATCTGAAGTATATTTGTTTTGCTCTCTATTCATCATCACCTCTGTAACAAAATTATTCTGTTAATACATTTTCACAGTTGAAATGCTCAGAATGGTTTTTATTTTCCTGACTGGACAACCAATTGGCATTTCCATTATTACCACAACACTCCTACATTATACTGAATAATCCTAGCCATCACTGTTAGAGAAGAAACAACAATGGTAAGATGAAGACCATTCCAAATAAAAGAGAACATTTTCTACCAATAGCTTCTCATTAAGGAATTCCAAAATTGTATTTCAGGAAAAAGGAAAATGGTCCCACAAAGAAGAAACAGCCTCAGGGAAATCTGAAGGAAAGAAAAAAAAGAGAAAAACAAAACCCCAAATAAACATCTTTAGACATAAGAAGTTAGCTACAGAATCGCTTCTAAAACTTAGAAGAGAATTCTGGTCAGGTTAAAAATTTAAAAACATAAACCCATCCTTCCCTCTTTCCACTATCCCTCCCCAAACACACTAATAGGATAGAGCATGTTTTGAGATATCTTTAATAACATACATTGCACTCAGAACAAGATAAACATCTCCACACACCAGACACAGAATGGAAATAGACGGAGTTAAGTGGTGCCTGCACCTGAAGCCACAGACACTAAAATACAGAAAAGGCTTTTATTATAGTGAGGTAATTACAGCAAATGCAAAAGAAAAAGATAAAGAGATTTTTAAAAATTCAGAGATGGTAATGGATGTTGAGAACAAAGACGATCTACAATTAGTATAAGAAGCTAATAAATAAAATAGAAAAATCATTCAAATGTATCATACAGAAAATTTATATCCAAAATGAAGGGAGAACTAAATTTACATTCTGAAAGAACACCTGTTTTTCAGGAAAAACTGACATACAACTTTCAACACCAAGCCATATTCTGGTGAAGGTTTTGAGTTTTAACAACTAAATATTATGCATAAAAGTCAAGCAACCCCCAAGGCTGGGGGTGGGGTGGAGAGGGAACCAGGTTGGCCTCAGAAGTCTCCACAATAATATTCCATGCCAAAAGATGATTATATAATGGCTATAAAGTTCTAGGGAAAAGAAAGTATAAGCCAAGAGTATTATACCCAATCAAATTGCATTTAATTTAAAGGCACAAGGCAGACACCTTTAAATATTAAAAAGAAAAAAAAAATAGAAAACCAAATGAAGAACTTAGTAATAGAGAAGCAGTA